TTAGTCTGCTTATTGAGGACTTTTATTTTGGCATACCTGTTAAACAAATAAGTAGCACTGTACCTTTAAGACCGTTACCTGCTTGGCACTATAATGGAGGACCTTCTGAAGGCTCTGGTTCAGGCAACCGCTGTGCAACAAGACACCAACCATTTACTGGCTGCACAGGTTAAGAACCTAAGGGACGCTCAGCAGGAGAATAGAGCAGCCCTTACTGAGGTTTTGCAGATTGCCCCCCTGCAGGGAGCGTGGGTTACAAGGGACCCCATAACCAAGCTACTGACATCTTGCATAAGATGACAGAGGCAGTAAAAGAAGTCTTTGGCAAGCTGAAAAGCATGGAGGCAGCAAAGCATGATGTTGAGAAACACGCAGAAGAGATAGAACAGGAATTAGAAGGCAAGAAGGATCAAATTGAGCCTGAAAGTAGTGATAATGTGGAAGAGGGTGAAAAGCCAGCTGGATCCTCCAAGGACCAAAAACCAAAAGGAAAAAAAGTAGTAAAGAGACCAGCAAAACTAAAGGAAAAAGCGGAATTGTCAAGAGACAGTGATGGTATGTCAGGAACTGCTCTGCTCTGTTCTGAAATCAGACCATGGTTTCTGGTATCCAGTACTCTATTTACAATTCTTGTTTAGTTTTCCTTGGTTTTTCTGGTTTTCTATTCTATGTCTGGTTTTCTTTATGCTGGGTTTTCTGGGTTCATTCCTGTATTCCGTTCCTGGAATTCCCATTCTTTTGGATTCCTTCAAATGTTTGTTTTATGTTGCCACACCCTTTCCTTTTCCATGAATCCTTTTTGTTTCAGTTGGTTCCTGCAGGCAGTTGCTACAAGTCCTCTGCCCTTTTATTGCAGGTACATGCTGTGTGTGTTTTATTATTGTTTATTTAGTCATGCATATCTAGGTAGATAAGACCCACCTTAATTGGAGGACTTTGACGCAGTTGGTGGGCTGCATACATCTTGGCTATTACTGTATGTCTAAATCTCCAATGTTTATTACATATATAGTACTTAGTTTTGTCTCCTCTTGTTTTGCCTATTATATCTTGTCTTGTATTATTTTGTATTCCCAGTCCATGTACAGTTCTGTCCTGCCCCTGCTCTGCCCCTTATGTATTGTGTACATGTTCTGGGTTTAGCTTTCTATCCTTCTCTGGTTCTGGGTGTTGTATAATCCTTCTCTCACCACCAATACTTCCAATTGGTATCCTTTTGAGAGAAATCCACTCTGCATTGTGTATTAATAGTGAAAAGATATATGTAAGTCACCTATTCCAAGAACTTACATATATCTTTATCCCCTTGTCCAGATAAATATATGACTAGAACTACTAAGGTATTCTACCCGATATTACAAATAAGCAGCCAACACCATAGTTCTTACCAGAGAGAAATCTTTACTTAGAACCTGCCCAGTTAAATATTACAGAAGAAGAATGATACAGAGTTATAGTTCATTCATACTACTCATACATTCCATATATCTAATAATATCTGCTACATTGTGTATATGCTGTGAGATGTTATGTGCAGCATATGTGTTTTACCAAACCTAATCTAATGTGATGTCAGTATCTTCTATATTTAAAGGAATTGGTCCCCATGTTGTAAATAGCCAATTCCTCAATTGATATGTAAATGTGATTTACTTTCCCAAGGCCCAAAGTGTTGTCTATCCTGTTATTTTATTTACGTGTGAACCTTCCCATCCATCCCCCTGCCTCTAACCTAAGGTGTGTTTTCCTAGATAGAGACTATCTTTGTCTTTGAAGACTAGTTGATATGTAAATGTAATCGGTGCCTTTCAGGTGCTGTATCTTTCCAACTATCTAAACAGAAACTCCCTTTGGAGATAATTCCTGATCTTCCATACACACAGACTTAATCAATCACATATTAAACAGATATATATAATCATAATATTTTCCCCAACACTCCCCCAATTGAATAAGATCTAATAAAGAGATTATTCACATACAACCCCGCCACCCACTCCGATCTCTGCATATTAAAAATCAAGTCAAGACATGAACCCACACATATATTTTATACCCCTAAAATGGATGTGAGCTCTACTCTGTATGGATTTTTTTTTAGTTCTTACCTCCAACAGCAATATAAAATGAATAGAGAACAGATTAAGACAAATTGTAGACAAACAAATACTACAGAAGCCGTTCTTAATCCTGGGTGTGTGTAAGTATTGTAGGGTATGCTCCACCAGGGCTCTTGAAAACTATTTGTTAAATCATTAAGGCTAGCTACATTTTCCTTCACCAGCTCTTGTAATTGCACAACCCTTTGATTATTTATTTTAAATAATGTATCCAAATCTACATTAAGTGGTGGGATTTTCTTAAATAGTGAGGGAGCCATCTTATTCTAATTTCCTAGATCTTCCTGTACCACGTCCATAGATCTTTGTGTGAGTTGGATGTTGGCTCTTATAACCTCCTTGCCCACTGTCATGGAGCCATAGGTAAGATTAAAACACACCATTCTGTTGGGGGTACCCTACATTGTATAGTTTGTTGCCAAAGAACTGAAGATACTCCCAGTGCGCAGATTGTGGGACCCTGTCAGTACACCACTCTTTTCCAACCATTTATGGGTTTGTGAAGGTGAACAGGGCAGCTCCCTGAGTTTTCCACCATGCACCCATCTGCCTGGACTAGTGGTTCTAGTACACAGGAACAAAGCCAAGCATTACCACGTCTGTCACAGCAACTGGGGTTGATAATGTTTCCAGAACTGGTCTTCTTTTATTACTAAGCGAGTTTGTGGAAGGAATTGATTTAAAACATTAGTGCGATTAGCCACTTCCAACTCACCAAACATAGTCATCTTATAAACAGGTACAGGCTGTTCTGTCCAAACTGGAATGTTAATTATTAATGGAATTACCATTTTTCCTAATTTGCACTTATTGCACCAACTCTGCAGACCTTTAATTTTGGAAAGGACTACAGTCTGACAACCAATGCCATATTCACTAACCAGATTAAAGACTAGGGTAGAATTTATTATTCTGGGCCATTCCTCTCATTTTATTTCTTGGAGGCCTAAATTTAGATGTTCATCTAGTAAATTTCCAAGTATACCACATACCAAAGCTTTAGATACATTATTATTATTAACTGATTCTCTGAGAGCATTCACGGATATATTAATCCACTGCAAATCTGCAGCAACTGTGTGAATGTTTTGTATTGTGACATCAGTTTCAGCTAGAGTGTTAAAATCCACTCGTCCCTCTTTAAGCAGAATTTGCTGCAACCCATTGACATAATTTTGTTCTCGTGAGTTAAGACCCTCTATGTCTGCCCTATTCCAAATTGATGTTCCCAAACTGAACCCTGAGATTATATCAGTACCCAGATCCCTTTTTTCTCTCTCTCTAAACTTGAGCCCTTGTGTTGCATCCCAGAATAGATTAATATGTGCTTGAAATACATTTTTAAACCATTCTTTCATCATCTCTGGGCAACTCTCTAGTATATTAAATAATGAAAAAATGAACAATAATAGTAATGTTACATAGGATACATCCATGTACGCAACAGTCTGTGTTGGTTGCAAGAAAAGGCCATGCTCTGGCCACAGGGTGGTAGTTGGACAGTGCTGAGAATTTATAATTCTTATGTTAATTGCTGGGTCAACTGTATTATGTAATCCAGTTTGATGGGGCCTGCATGTTACAACACCATCCTGGGAAAATGTAACATTTCTTTCCAGCAGCATCTTTATTCCTTTGTGGTATTGGCCCAAAATATACTGGTACTCTTATGTAAGTCACTTCCTCCTGGATATTTCCAATCTGCAAATTCAGAGGGAAGGTTAGTTTAAGCATTGAAATATTAAATTGTATCACCATACATCCCCCTATAGGCCCAACCACTGTAAGATTATCTTTACATGTAACTTCAGGTGATTGTTCCTTTACTTTTAATGTTACTATGATATTCTCTGAATCTTCTGAACTCATTTTCTCACTTTGATAACCCCCTACTGGAGTACTCTGATGTACCATTGTATTATTATTCTTCATCTTGACATTTCTTCCTAAGCTATACAGTATATACATAAAAAACGATACACATAACCACCACATCATGACTGCTGTTTTCTTGCACTTCATATTCCTTATGCGGGCTGCTCTTCCAAGGATCACTCCATCTCCTATTATCTGGAAAAGAGAACTAAGAGAATATGTTAACATTTACATTAAGTTGGCACATCATTGTTTTCCTCTTAAGGCTTTTATCTGACATGCATGTGTCCATCTAAAGTTCTCATCTTCCACATCTAACAAATACACAGAGGGAAAGAAAAAGAAAAAATCAGATTGAGGCTTGGTAACCATATATAGAAACAAAAGAACAACAAACATACATACAGGTGTAGAGAAAAACAAACAATTATGGGAGTTATTAATTGCTGGGGACCCTCAATTGATCCATCTTTCCCTCCTCTCTCATCTGTTCCCTAAGTGCTTTTACGTCTGCCTCCAATCTTTCAGTCTGTCTCTTCAGGTCCCAGTATTCTCTATTCCCTTCTTTATTCCTCCAATTATGCAATTTCGTCTATTGATCTGATGCTCATCCCATCTATGGTTCCTTCTCCAATTATTCTCCCAATAACTATTCCTGTTGTTTCTTCGTTTTTCTCCCGAACTGTGTGAATTTTCCCAGTTATTATTTCTCCTTTTTAGCCTCTCCCAGTTATTATTATTCCAATTGTTGTTAATTACCTGAGGCTCATCCCATCTATTTCTCCAATTATCTCCCATTACATTGCTCCCTTTAGCACTATCCCTATTCCTATGGTCCCTCTGTGGATCTCTCTGTCTTTTGTCACTATCAGATTCATTCTCACCTCTGAAATTTCTATTTAAAAATATATATCCCCTGAATGGTTTCTGAGGATACATGGCAGAACTGTCTCTCCTCTCTGGCCCCTCTACTCTGAAAATCCTTACAGCATCTACAGCAAAACTCTAATTTTTAACCTTTCTTTGCCACAAATTATCAGCTCTTAACAGTAAATCACACATTTCTGATGGGTTTGGGGTTACAGATAATATCTCATCTTTAATATCTTCCTCTAATGCATCCAAAAACATTGATCTATGCACCAGCCCTCCCTGTTCAAAACCAGGATTACTGACACCAAACTGTTCCATCACTGTAGAGATTCTAGCTGACAATTCATTCGGAGACTCTTGTTTCAGCTGTTTAATTTTTCCAGACAATGACACGTTTGATGTAACTCCATAAAGTGCTCTCAATATCTCTTTCAACATATCCCTAGTTCTACGCTGCTGACCACATGTCTGTACAATCCTGACCCACAATCCATTTCCAACAACTCTCTGGAACACTCTCTCCATATCACCAGTTGTCAAACTATACATCTCTTTCACTCTTTGAATTCCACAAAACCATTGCAAAAAGCGATTGATATCCTGCTGAGGGACCTGCCCTATTTCTCTAACTATGGCATCCATTTCTTGTGGCTTTAACTGCTTAGTAACTAGCTGAATCTCTCCAGAATTATCAGGATTCAACACTGTGGTTGTTGTAGTTGGAGCCGCATGGAGATTTGTCACTGACTTTTGTTTCAAATCCTCCCATGGATAAAGAGGTTTGTATCCTGTATCTCCAATCCCTGGGTTAGCAATAGACCCTGGATTTTCAGATACAGGAGACCTACTCAAAGGTGCCATGGTTTCTGCCATTTTATTAAAAGCCATATTAGTAGCATGCCTGCATTCATACAATTCTTTTAGCATCTCCAAAATGTTCTCATTCAGCCTCTCATTCTCCACTGTAAGCTCCACACACATTTTGGCCTTTTCAATCAAAGCTTGTAACTGCATGCATTCTAAGAGCTACAATCTTATTATTCAATTTCTCAGATTTCATGTTAATTACTGAATTCAGCTCTGCAATTTCATCCTCCTTTATTTTTACAATTCCCTCTAATTTTAAACAACATGATAGTAATGCTTGCATAATACACCCTTTTCTTTTTTTATCAGAAACATTTTTATCAAATAACATTTCTCCTAAAAACGCCTGCATCTTTTCCCATGACTGTTTACAGTCTTGAGAGATTTATAAGGACCACCATGTCTCTTAATATAATTCATAAGCCATTGTTTCACATTTTCTGAACAAGCCATTTTTGCATCTACCTTTTTACATGTCATGTTAAAAATACACACTGCAGCAATAGAATAAATAACAAATAAACTCACCAAGCTTTATGCAGACACTGGAAACCTCTTCTGGCTGACAGTCACAGAACCAAATACGTTGATGTTAAAACTTGGATGCTAGGCAGATTCTGAAGAAAAAAATCTTCCGGTCACGGCACCAATTATAATGTATAATCCTTCTCTCACCACCAATACTTCCAATTGGTGTCCTTTTGAGAGAAAGCCACTCTGCGTTATGTATTAATAGTGAATGTAATATCCCTGTGTCACCTATTCCAAGAACTAACATACATCTTTATCCCCTTGTCCAGATAAATATATGACTAGAAGTACTAAGGTATTCTACCCGATATTACAAATAAACAGCAAACACCATAGTTCTTACCAGAGAGAAATCTTTACTTAGAACCTGCCCAGTTAAATATTACAGCAGAAGAATGATACAGTAATATATTTTCCCCAACACTGGGTTCTACTAGTTTTGTCTTGTTTTCTTGTTTGGTGTCTCTCCTAGCCTTGTTTCTAGTACTGGATACATTTCAGCATACTTCTGCTCTGACATCCGCTAAGTTGCAACAGGGTTCTGGTTTGTAGCCGCAAAATCGCTGGTGCTCAACACCAGTGGGCGTGCGGTTACCCTGCACCAGGCCCTACTGATCCACTTCCACGCTGAAGACTCCTAAACAGCTACATCAGGCACAGGGGTCCACACTACGGACTGCCACCCGTGACATGGTGACACTGATGACATGAGCCAAAGTAAGAAAGGGCTGAAGAAGAATCCGAAGGGAGAGCAAGACAAACTGATGACTGAAATTGACAAGTTTTTATTTGAGAATCAAAACATTGCAGCTTCACGTGAAAGCCTCAAACTTGCTCTGACTGGCATCACAACAGATAAAGAGGTCTTAGAAAAAGAGTTGGAAACAAAAATATTTTCAAGCTCTGAAACTGAATCTTGCATGTTTTAAAGAGAATGCTGGAAGGGCATTAGCATACAGAAAGGTACTGATAAATCTTCCCAAGGCAACAAAAGGAGAAAGAAAAACTGTGACTGAGGACAGCAGTGTCAAGCTGGTTTGTGCTATAAAAAATGAGACAAGTAAAAATACACAGTGTAAAGGTGATAAGACTAAAGTATGCAGAACCATCCTAAAGAAAACTGTAAAGATGAAAAAATATAGGCAAGGCCGAGTGCCGGTGGTAAGCAAAAACCCACCCAGAAGGAGTAAGAAAAGCTAGTGGATACAGTAAGGGAAAGAAAAATGAAGCAGAAGCTACTGATGTACACCAAGTGAATAAGTCAAAGGCATGAAAAGCAGACTGACTTGGGGAGTCAGAGAAGACAACAGCAAAGGAGCTGAGCAAAATAGAGAGAAGCAAAGCACCCCAGTTGAGATAAAAAATGATGTGCACTGTTTAGTAGCAGAGGCAACCAAAGAATGTCAACCAACTGTAGGACAGTTAGGCAGAGAAAAGCAAAGCACCACAGTTGAGTTCAACAATGCTGTGCACTGTCTAGTAGCCGAGGCTACCTAAGAATGTCGAGCAGCTGTTGGACAGTTTGGCAGAGAAAAGCAAGGCAGAGAAGTAGAGGCAAAACAAAGTCAAAATAAGAAAGGCAAAGTAGCCAAGAGAGAGCAGCAGTTACAGAACCAAGCTGTGGTGATAAGATAGGCACGTCCGCACCTAAGCCCGACCAAGGCGAAAGTGACAAAGTAGGTGACATTGGTGTAGCAGAATTAAATATTTCAGAGACACTTGGTATTGCTACAAAGATTATGAATGATTGTCCTGGAGCCGTAGAACTTAATCTGCTGTTAAAGACTACATCTACAATGCCTGGGCACACTGACTACCTGGAACAGTTTCCAGATTCTGGGAACACAGTAATGGAATTAAAGGTGGGACTCGGACTGCCTGACTGGCTGTTTGATACCAGGGCTGTCATGACACAGCGAAAGGACTGCGTTTCTGGACACCCCCGAGGGAGTAGGGAGACCACCAGTCAGCCCAGAGGAACGCATTGCTGACATTGAGAGGTAGCCACTCAAGGCCGAGCATGATGGGATGGAGCTGGGATCAAAGACTGCATTCATGCAGGAGGAGGGTGCTCTAGACAGCCTCCCTGGCCAACCCCCTCAGGATATAGAGATGAGACCTGTAGCATTACCCGTAGGGAGCGAGGAAGGTTCCCAGGGATTCGCAGAACAGATGGAGGATGTTGTGGAGTCCATCATGGAGGCACCTGTTCCAGTGGAGCATGAGCTGGTGACAGAACCAGGTCTTGAAGAGATTGAGCACCCGGAAAATTCAGCTCATGAAGGAATTAGACGTATAGGTGATATAAAAAGGCTAGTTACATGCCAAGCCTTTGTAAAGTTTGCATTTGAAAGTAATTCAGATATTAATACGTCTGCGGTCATTAAATAACGTCATTATAAATGTATTTTTATTTAAATATATGTATATTAATATCAAAATACAGTTAGAACAAATTTAAACCAGTATACTATTTTTTTAATTTGAATTAATTAATTTATTTATTAATTTTATTTTTTATTTTTTTTATTGATTTTATTATTTATATATATATATATATATATATATGAAAAAAAAAATATATATATATATATAATTATATAGATATTAATTTATCCCCTTATGGACACATGACGGAAATATTCTGTCATGATTCCCTTTTATTACAGAAGTTGTGTCCTTAAGGGGTTAAAATACGCGTAATGATAATGATTTATGTATGTGTATAGAAAAGTAGATAGATCATATATATATATATATCATATATATACATGATCTAAGTACTTTTATTAACTTTTTAAAACTTTTATTTAAGTTTTATAAACTTTATAAAACTTTTATGCAGGCATTAGGGGGACTGCCTGAGAGCTCAGGCAGGTCCCCTGCAGGCACTGCAGATGCCAGCTATTCCAGCCATGTGCTCACAAGGATCCCACGATCACATGGCATGGGAGGGCCAGATTGGGCAGAGGGGGTCTGCCTGGGACCCCAGGATCACGATCGCCGGCGGGGGATTGCCAGTGATCAGGTAAGTGGGGATGGGGATTTACTCTCGGACGTACCAGGTATGTCCGAGGTCATTAACGAATATTCAGGAAGGGGTTAAAGGGCTGCAGCGCATGAGTGGCCCCCTGAGAATACATACACCTTGGTGGGCCTAAATACATTGGCCACCTAATGGGCCCCCTCAGAGTGCGGGCCCAGTGCAGCTGCACTAGCAGTAGTTCTACTGCTGGTTCTACCTGAAACACAGCCTCAGATCCCTATCGCTCATCCACCAAACTTTACAGTAAGGATAAGTATTTTTCCCTGATTTACATCTAGATTATTTCATCAGTCTGCCAGATAGTGAGAGAAGATAGTGATGTGTGATTGATCACTTCAGAGAACACATCCCCACTGCTCCAGAGTCCATAAGTAGCATGGTTTGCACCACTGTAGCCAATGCTTGCTATTGTGCATGTATATGTGATACTTGTATACCCCTGCTCAGACATGGAAACCCATTTGATTAACGCACTACATTCCGCAGCCTATTAATCTCTGCTTCTCCCCTAGTTAATAGTGAGGGAAAAATAGGATCATCTCTGTTTTGGAGAAGATAATATTCTCTCTTACATCTTATTAGATAATTCCAGATGTGTGTTTTTGTTTTTTTACAGGAAATACATTTTCCTATAAATGAAAACTCTCCATAATGCAAAAAAATTGCTTTCATCTTTCTGACTTCCAAACACCAATCATATTTGCAGCTATGCAGATGTTCTACCAATTAATGAACCATTAAATATTGGTTTGATAGTCATATTAGTGTGTAATCAATAAAATAAGATAAGAGTAAGAGAAGTGCTCTCAATAACTTACTATAACAATAATATCTATCTATCTAAATAAAATGTACTTTTGCCTTATATATATTTATTCTAGATATCATTATAGTAAATTCACTGCACACATACCAATTTATTTTCCCTTTTGAATATACGATCTTTGTTACCCATGTACTATATTGTGGAATTTTTCACATCTTGTAAATACATTATTTAGTACTGTATTATTGTTATTATTTCTTTAGTTTTATATATAAGTTTGGAAAGATAATGTTTTCAAAGGAAACAAAAAAAAAAACTCTTTCCATTGCAAAATGATGCTCCATGCTGTTTATACCTGTATCTTCTATAGATCACTGCTTATTTTTAAGTATATCTCAGACTGTTTTCCACAAGGAAAAATAAGTTATTTTGGAGATACATACTATTGATCCATGAAAAACCTTTTCACAGAATGTTGAACTCTTTCTAAAGAAAACCTATTAGTTTCAATAAAGAATTAGAATTGATATTTTTTATCTGATGAGTTTCCTCTGTAAATTAGAAGAAATCTAATCAAACAGGTTAGAGACAAGACTGCAAAATACAATAATGGACAAAACAACAAGCATACAAATGGCAAAGACATATAAACAGGATAGGCAAAAAAACATAGGTGAGAAAATATTTGCCTCCTGTCTTTATTAACATTTAGGCTAAGGCTAGGCTAATCTCTAATTGTAATACAAGACAGGAGGCTTCATATTTCTCTTTAAGCATGGGGGACACTAGAATAAAGGCAGCATG